TATACTCGAGCAACACCTAAATTTATTATTAGAAATAAACTTCTCTTCTCTTCCACTCAAAGAGCTCTTGATTCACCTAATATCAATTATTTCAAGTACCAAACTAATTTATTATCTATAACAATATACCTGTGATAAATTTCCAATATAAATTTGCTAAATTTGCAATATTTTGTTTTGAGAAACTTCTTGCATCTAAAAAACAAATCAAATTATAGAATTTCATTTTTGAAATAAAATATTAATGTATTTGACAATTTGCTCTTACTTTAATTACAATAATTAGTAAAGCAACTAAACATATCACTAAAATAGATTCAGATGCCATGCCATACAAAGTGTATTGAATTGTTAAGGTGGCTATAGGCAAAAAAAATATTATGGTCGCGTCGCTCAAATTTAATAACTTAAGAATAAAAATTAAGCAGCAGCATTTAGTAGTTGGTATTAATTAAGTCTTCACATAAATCTAATCGATCTATCTCATTAAGGTAAACATAATTTTAATTACCAAATACAATATACATCAAAAATCTAACTTACTTTCACTAGAATGTGCATCAACATTTATAACATTTGTAATAAATTCTACACAATTTTCTTCTGATAGCTGATTAAGATTTCGTAAAATATCGACCAATGCTGGACGTTCATCCAGCTCAGTAGACCAACATTTTTTGTAAAGGTCAGCATAAGCTTGGGGTGTTCTAGTAATAGTTTTTTCTCTTTTATTGTTTAAAATTAAAAAAAGAATAGAGAGCTGATTAAATTGATCAAATGGACTAACTCCACTTGTAAGTTCTCACAACAATACACCAATGCAATATATATCAGATTTTTATCTTTGAATTTTTTCCGAGGCTCGAGAAGATCTTGTGGTCCAATATATTTATATTAAAAAGATTCTGGTTCATTATCTGGATAAGTCAATATGGAACTATTTAATTGTCTTAACAAACAAAAATCTGTAATTAAGGCATAATTGTTATGTATCAAAACATTCATAGGATGCTAAAAATTTAGTGTAAAAAAACATTTAAATAAATTAGGTTTTATCCAGAAATTATACTAAACATAAAAATAGACTAACTAGATCTTTATAAACTATATTCTCATCATGTAAGTATTTTAATCCAAGTGTAATTTCTTTCGCAATTCGGATAAGCTCCTTCCATAATATTTTATAAATGCCTTCCCTTTGTTTTGTTCCTAAATGTTCCCTCAGGTTACCGCCATTGGCATATCGATGAATCAACATAAAATTACCACTTTGTTTATCTAAAAGTATTATAAGTTAAAAGTTTAAAAAGTTATATCATTGATATAGTATTGCATATACCTTTTAAATTTATACCTCTCGAAATACCATAGAATTTTATGATGTTTGGATGATGGATCTTACACAGAAGATTAATCTATTATCATATTATTTAATTAAATAGGAATATTAAGAATTCATATAATAAATATGAATAAAGCATTACATTACATATAACATTTTTTAGTTTTTATTTTCAATACCCAGGTTATTGTTTAGAGATTTTATAACGTACATTTGTTCTTTGAAGATAGCCGAATATACCTTCGCATTTCTCCCTTGTCTGATGAATTTTAAATCTCTGAATTGTAAAAAATCAAAAATCTTTATATTGCAACTAGTTAATCTCTTCACTAGTTCTTTTGAATATTCCTTTACTAATAGTTTAAGTGTAATAAGTATTTAATAATAATTAAAAATATTTTATTACACTGATTCACAAATATTAATGATAGCTTATATATATACATTGATATAGATTCGTTTGGTGAATCAAGAGCTCTTTGAGTGGAAGAGAAGAGAAGTTTATTTCTAATAATAAATTTAGGTGTTGCTCGAGTATA